GAGAGAGAGAGAGAGAGAGAGAGAGAGAGAGAAAGAGAGAGAGAAAGAGACAGACAGACAGACAGAAACACACATACACACTCAGAGGGTGGGATTTTTAAAAATTAGTTCAGATGGTCAGTAAAGAATATAGCTGCGCAAGGAAGAATCTAGAGGTCACTCAGGGAGACTGCTGTGTTTGCAATATTACCCTTCCCCACTCCTTCATCGAGGAGCAGTTCTGCCGCCCCACATCCAATGTCCATTGACCCAGGATTGCTTTCCTGGATTTGAACCTGTCATGACTACCCTCTTACAAGGTTTTCACCCTGAAAATTCACTTGTTCTGAAATACTAGTGAGTTAAATGTTAACCTTGGAAACACTGCCCAAGCACATCCTTTTTGTCCCGCATTCCTCTCATTTAGGGCCATATCACTCACTATTGTATGTTTTACTATTACATGTTTATAAAATCGTTTACTGAATAGCCAGGTGGCGGTGGCACACACCTTTAATCCCAGCACTCAGGAGGCAGAGGGCAGGTGGACCTCTATGAGTTTGACTCCAGCCTGGTCTGCAAAGCGAGTTCCAGGACAAGCTCCAAAGCTACACAGAGAAACCCTGTCTTGAAAAACCAACAAAAAAATCTTCTATTGGAACAACTGTATAAAATGTTCTTTGTAAGCAGTTCCCAGCTAAGAAGTAGAAGGTTCTAGAGGGTCCAGCATGAGGACAGAGAGGAAGACAGCAATGACGGCAGCCAGGACGGAAGGTGATAGACTCGTAATAGCCTTGGAGAGGACTGCTAGAACGAAGCTACTTCTTATAGTTTAAGTCAGATGTGGTAGAAAGGGGAAGGACTAGCCTTGAGAGTAGGAAACTGCCTTGAATTCCGGCCTTTTCCCAACACAGAATAGGGCTAAGGCCGTGGATTATATCAAGACTAAGAACTATTCTAGCATATAGGAATTATTATCCACTATGGATGGATTTATTTAATTTTGCCTTGGAAAAAAATCCCAGAAATATTGACAATAGCAAAAAAAAAAAAAAAAAAAAAAAAAAAAAAAACAGAGAAGAAAAAGAGAATGAGAGGAAGAAAGAAAAGAAAGAAAGGAGAAAGAAATGCAAATAGCAAATGGTAGTTGACTTCAGAGAAAACTAAACAACAACAAATTAACGTATAGTGTTTGTGCAAAAGACTCTCTTTTTCCCTATCCGACTTGGGAGGTGATAGCTGGTACTCACTGGGAGACATCACTTTAAACAAGGCACAGAAACCAGCTTCTATTATACAAAGTGTGCTCTTCCTAACAAAAGTGTTCCGGGCTTGCCCTATCCATGGCACATTTTCTGAAAATCAATCAAGTCCTCTCATTCAGCTGAAGCCCAATGGCATTGTCTGACCCTTCCTCCAGGAGCTGATCTCTGCCAGGTAGAAAATTAAGTTTCCTTCACTCTTCTTTTTAGACACAAAGCTTCAGCATCACAGAACCCTTGCTCTGTGTGGGAAACCGACTTCCTGTCTCAATAAACAAGCACACACAGGCTTTTTCTGGACACATAATGGAGCCTTTTTTATTTTATACAAAAATCATTCCACACTTAACACATCAATGAAGCCACTTAAGCTCTACTGCATTTGAATTAAAGAGGAATTGTGTGATCAAAGGGTGTGAAAAGAACCACACAGGGCGTTCTTCAGATCCTCGACTTTTGTTACATTTGATACATAACAAGCCCAATAAATATGCTTATCCCAGGAACTAGGTTCATTATCTCATACCCTTAAGCCCAGAGAAAGGACTGCCATATTCCTCTTCATTCTGGTGTTCTTGGCTTGTTTTGCTGGATTTTGATGAAGAAATGAAAAATACTTGCATGTTTTAAGGGGCTGTGGGTGAGGTTGAGGGATGAAGTAATTTTCTCTTGGGATTTTTGTGGCTATCTTACTAAATAAAAATGTATATACATATTTATACAGAAATATATGTACTTCTTCCCCATTGATGAGTATACATACAATTAAATATATGTGTACTTCAGATATATGCACTACTAGAGTTACTATCCTATACACACACAAACAATAACTTGGGGGATTTCCTTTTCTTTTCAAGCAATGGAGTATAAAGCAAAAAAAGATGAAAATTCTCAAATGTTTAGAATTGAATTGGTGGATGGGACATTCAATACCTTTGGCAAGGATAGCTTCTGGGAACGTTATTAAGGATGTAACAGTCGCTGCAATCTTTTTGGTACAATGTATTCTAGAGAGATTTGGAAATGTTCTACAGAGGATTAGGCATCCTCACAAGCCAGGTCTTACAGCTACACATGTATAGAAATGTAGTTTTTGAGTCATAACATAAGTACTAGTAAAATATGTGTCCTATACAACTGCATCAAAACCCAAAACATGAACTATGTGGCCAGTGACTTTGAGTTGATAGAATAAATTCATGTAATCCAGTCAACATTGGGTTGAAATAAATTCCTTTAGCTATTACCTATGTGAACACTGGATGAGAACTCCAAATTGTTAAGGTTTTTTGTTTTTTGTTTGTTTTTTTAAAAAAACCTTCATCCAAGAAGTTTAAGTTGGAACTAATTTAAATATAATAAAACAGCAGTCACAAGCCATTCACTATTCTCCATGCAAGGAAGTCAAAGTCAGGAAAGGCTCGCCTTCTGTTCTGTAGCAGAAGAGATAAGACAAACATGATAATGTGGGTGTGGAAACAAATCTCAAATGGTACCTGCAAGAGGAGAGTGGACCCCAACAGCCCATGCAGTACAGAGAGGATTTCCAGGGCACCCTCAAAAGTTTATGTTTTAACATGTCTTAGAAGATGAATGGGAGGAGGAGACATTTATCAGACACAAGAATTAGGGGAAAATAAAGTCATAGCAAATGTACATAAGCAGAGGCGTGAAAAGCTGTTACATGTTCCTGAAAACTCAGATGGAGTATGTGATCTCCAATGGGACCGTTCACTGAGTGAAGGGTAGCCTCAGCTGAGGCAGGGGTGACAGGCTGTGCATTTGTAAACAGCGAGGCCTGGAATGGGGCCTTAACAGACCTGAGGAACTTCAATTAGTCCTCTTTGTCCCACTGGGTTTTCTATCGTAGCCACCCTCTAAACGAGTACTCCAACCTGGTGACTTTTACAGCTCTAAAAAACTCAGCTAGTTGCATTTTGCCTTCCTAACATTTGACTTTCTATATTGTGTGTGCCAGCCATGTGGATGACGGACTGAAAGATTTGTTTACATCCAGATGTTTTCATTGCTATGTAGACAGACAATCACAAATGTTGAAAGAAAGAAAAAAAAATTCCTTGGGGCTGAAAGCCTCTATGCCATGCTTCCTACATAAATAGCTGTTGATGGTGTCACTAATGGCAGCCCGGCTCTGTTTAAACACTGTTATTAAAATCAGATGACCGTCTGTTTCTGCTACAGTTTGGGTCAGGCCAACCTTTCCTGTGGAGCCTATGGACTTTTCTCTGTGACAGAGATGACTAAAACTAAATGAAGAACCATAAAAACAATAACAGGCAATGGAGTTGTCGATTTCTTCTTGATTAATTCTGTGCATATATAAATCCAAGTTTCAGGCATGCCTTATTTCTTCCCATTTTGGCTTTGTCTGTATTGTCTGAAAAAGAATAATTCAATAAGACCTTTTTCTTCTTGCACAGATCCTGCCCCAAACTGCCTGTCCAGTTTCACTTCAACTCTCAGAACAAAG